TGGAGTCTGCGTCGGAGCTGCGCTGTCCCTTCCAGCTCCATCTCTACCTCCTCCTTCGTCCACCCTTCTTCTCCATCCTGTCGGACCGCCATCCCCGCGGGTCCGGCACATAAGCCGTCAGAAACTAAAACTACCTATAAGCTCAAAGACCAGGAGCTGGGCAAGAAGAATAAGTTGTAGGGTTACCCTCCCATCATCACTGTCCAATCACACTGTAAAGAGCCTTTGTTGCCTAGACGGGTTTCCCACCACGCACCCAATGGATACAACTCTAGTTTGCTCTTCACCAGGTCTCTCATTTCATCCAACCATTGGTGTTCCCGGTGCTTATTCGTGCTAACTACTCTTATAATGACTACAATCGACTAATGTTCCACCACTGACGATGGCACTCACACTGCCCCTGTAGTGCCGCTGTCGGTAATCAAAATGTCACGTGACAGTTCATACTCTTGCTATGTGGAAGACCTACGTTATGTTTCCCAAAAACCTCAACAACCCCACAGACTACAACACTTAAAGTGCGGCTCCCCAACAAACCGGACCAATAAATCTATTCTTTAGAAACCGAGGACCGGGAGCTGGGAAGGAAGAATAAGCTGTAGGGATACCCTTTCATCATCACTGTCCAGAACACTGTAAAGAGCCTTTGTTGCCAAGACGGGTTTCCCACCACGCACGCAATGGATACAACTGTAGTTTGCTCTTCACCGGGCAATATGTTCACACTGCTCCTTCATGCTGACTACTCTTATAATGACTACAAAGAAAACCAACTTGTCAGAAGGCAAAAATACCCAAAACAGACAGGGAGAAGAAATCACAAATTTACTCCCATACATCGCGGATAACAATTATCCCTCTCTCTCAATCCTAAAATGCTGCAGCAATAAGTGTTTCTAAACACGAAACACTAAGAGCAACCCCCGCACCAGAACAGAGACAGTAAGCATTTTACTTCTCAAGGGAATCAAGAGACAACTAAACGATCAAAGAAATGCAATACACTAAAATACGACAGACTAGCCTAGAAAACAGCTAAAAACGGAGAGAATGTTCTCGACCTTTTAACTGAATATGGCCACAGATACATAGTTCAGTGAGAGCTAATTTTTTAGACAACAATGACTTATACCAGGGAACAATCCTACCCTAAAATACGAGCAAAAGAGTCGAGATTGAAATTAAGCCCACAGAAGGAATCGAATTAGGTTAAAAAAAAAAAAAAAAAAAAAAAAAAAAAAAAAA